GAATTGTCTCACTTAGACCCTGCTGTAGGACACTGGGGCCAGATCAGAGGAGGCCACCATGGCGGCCAGCTCTGAAAGCCGCACTTGCAGGGATGAGTCAGGCTTCAGTACAGAAAACAAAGAATTCTAAGTGTTTTATGAAGAAAGTGGCTTAAGGGGTGGGCCTGGAAGCACAGCAGGTTAAGCTCTGCTTGGGATGCACATGTCTCATATTGGGGTGCTGGTTCAAGTCCTGGCTCTCCTGCTTCTGATCTTTTTTTTCTTTTTGAATTTTATTTATTTGAAAGGCAGAGTTATGGAGCAGGCTGGGGATGGAGAGAGATCTTCCATCTGCTGGTTCATTCCCTAAATGGCTGCAGTGGCTGGGACCAACGCCTGGAGCTTGGAACTCCATGAGGTCTCATGTACTTGGGCCATCTGCTGCTTTCCCAGGTGCATTAGCCGGGAGCTGGACTGGAAGTGCAGGACTTGAGCCAGTGCCCGTATGGGATGCTGATGTCACAGGCAGCGTAAGTCATTGTGCCACAACCCTGTCCTCCCAGCTTCTGGCAAATGTGTCCTGGGAGGCAGCAGATGTTGGCTCAAGTGCTCGGGCCCAGCCGCCCATGTGGGAAACCCAGGGGAGTTCTGGGCTCCTGGCTTCAGCCTTGCCCAGCACTGGCTCTTGTAGGCATTTGGGGAGTGAACCAACACATAAATTTCTTTCTCTACTCTGCCTTTCAAGTAGATGAAAATAAACATTAAAAAGTATGATTGATATTTACAAAAAGAAGAAGAAAAGCGAAGAAAATGGCTTGAGAGAGGAGAGGATGTTGCGACACTGTGAGTAGGGCTGGGGCTCTGGGAGTCTGGGTTGCTCCCGGGACGGCTGCATCAGTCTGCTGGAGTTCATGGCGCTGGGGACCTGACATGAGAATGCTGATTCAGCCCCCAACTGCCAGCCTGGAGGTCAGGAAGCCTGCTTCCACCTGGCTTCTCCCTTGGGTCCCCATGTGGGAGCCTCGTGTGCACACAGGACCCTGGCGGTGGGCGGTCTTGGAAATAGGTGTGAGCCGTCCCAGCTCCAGGTATAGAATGCACGGGAAGTCGGAGCTGGGAGGTGACTATCTGTCCTGGACGACAGCAGGTGCATCTTACTACATGGGTCACTGGGATCCGTTCCCAGAAGCTGACTGAAAGCAGATTTCTGTACATCTGGAGGTAGTCCTTAGGAAAGGCTCACAAGGGGGCCCTTGGACTGCTTAAACAAGTCTCATGAGATAGCACCCGGCACATCTGACATATGGGGGTGCTTTGAAAAGTTTGTAGAGGGGTGGGTGTTTGACCTAGTGATTACTGTGTCCCATATTGGAATGCCTGGGTTCAAGCTCCGGCTCTGCTTCTGAATCCGATTTCTGGCTAATGTGCCTTCTGGGAGGTAGCAGGTGAAAGCTCAGAGAGTTGGGGTCCTGTCGCCCATGTGGAAAACCTGGATTTATTTATAAGATGGGGTCCCTGGCATTCAGGCAGGGACTGGTTCACAGCTGAGGTGACAGTTCTTTTGGGAATAGCTCAGACTATACCAGGAGGGCCCTGACCCTAGTGTCTGGACTCAGGACTCCCAGGGGCAGAACTGAGTGTTCACGTTGAGAGGCTGGTCATGGTTGGAATGAACCCATCAGGAGGGAGCATTTGGAGAGAGGGTGTCCTCTGTGCTGTCCGAGGCAGGAGGAGGATGGAAGTGGGCCCAGGGCCGCCGCTGGGGGCAGCGTGCGCTCCTCTGCTGTTTGAGACCCCCCCTCTGCTCCCGTCTACTCTGGCCACACCAAATCGCCTTTCCGTGTACTTAGAGCCTTCTCTGGACAGCAGGGCAGCAGCCTCAGCAGGACCCGGAGGCCTGGGTGATGCGGTTGTTCAGTGTTTGTTGTGCTTGTCTGCACTCCTAGGTCAGCATTGTGTCGGGGTCTCACTGGCAGCAGGAGGACCTGAGGGGACTTGGTATAAACTGCTGGGGTTGGGGAAACAGGGACCTCCCATGAGCACTGACCTGGGTTAAACTTCCACCCTGTAGAGGGCACCCTTAGCCCCTGAAGACAAAGCAGGTGGCCCTGAGCTCCACAGGACGGGGACAGGGCTCCCATCTCTGCTTCTGTGGCCTCGCCCAGCCCCGCCCTGCCTGCCGAGGAGATGGTCTGCAAGCCGGCAGGTGCAGGAGGACCCCGTGGGGTGAGAATGCAAGCCTGACTTGTCAGAGGGAAGAGGTGTCCTTTGGGGGCTCTGGGATGTAGAGGTTCTAGGAGCAAGGTTGAGTTTATCCGTCCACCTGTCTGTCCATCATCTGTCCGTCCAGCACTTAATGAGCTTTGCTATAGGCTGGGCAGGCGGAGGACCAGCGATGAACAAGATGGGCGGGTAACGTCCTTGCCATCAAAGAACATGGGGGCAGGTGTGCCAGACAAATCAGACTGTTCAGAATCACTGCCAACATGGGTGATGTGAAGGGGCACTCAACAGAGAGAGAGATCAGGAATGTGTTCCACAGAGGTGGTGTCCAAAGGTCCTGAGGAGTGGGCAGGATTTGGACAGGGAGATAGATTTTGGCTCAACTAAGGAAAAAGTGGATCCGATGGAATGGGTTCTGCGGGTGCAGAGCAGAGCTGGGCGGGGCTTCCGCTGCTCTCGCCCTTCCTCCCAAGCATGTGGAGGTGGCCGTGTGTCCTGGCCATACCTTTTGCTGCTGCCTGCGCAGTAGGTAGCGGCACTCCCCACACCTCTGCCTGTAAGCTCTCAGCACTTACAGTGGACTTTTGAGCCATGGGGCCTGAAGCAGCAAGGGGGTGGTGACCTCACCAGTCTGGGATGCGGGCATTACGGATGGAAATGGGGATGATTCTGGGTGCCACAGGACGGATCAGTCACATACTGGGTTATGCTCCTTTGACTAAACCCCTATAATCCATACTGCCCGGCATCTGGTTCGGGTGATTTGCTTGTGATGCACCTCTCTTGGCCACAGACACCAGGGCCTCTGCTGTGTTAGCCTCATGCTAGGTCCTAGCTTCATGCTAGGACTCAGGCTGATGGGAGTGACCCCATCTGACCCCGGCCATCTACCAGCTGAGGGAGAAGCAATGGAAGATATCTCGCTAGCTCTTGAAGCTCCTGCCTGGTGGTGACACTCAGCCATGTCTGCTCACGTTCATCTGTCAAATCCAGCCACATAGCCACTCCTGATGTCCACCAAAGTCCCCTGGGAGGAGCAACAGATCTTTAATAGTCTACCACAGTTTGTGGGTATTTTCAATTAAAAAAAAATTCATTTATTTGAAAGGCAGAGTGACAGCTCTTCCATCTGCTGGTTCAGTCCCCAAATGGCCACAACAGCCCAGGCTGGAGCAGGCTGAAGCCAGGAGTCAGGAACTGCACGTGGGTGGCAGGGACCTGTCCTGGGCCATCTGCTGCTGCTGGGATGCATTAAGCTGGATGGGAAGCAGTAGCTGAGACCAGAAGCAGGCACTCTGACGGGCTGCAAGCATTCCAAGTGGCTGCTTAGCCTGCCTGCACCACGATGCCCACTCCACTTTAGATTGAGAATTTTTTACTTCATTACTATAAATGAAGAGCTGGTATTTTCTAATACGCACTAAAATAAGCTTTTAGAGGACTGGTGCTGTGGCGCAGCTGGTTAAAGCCCCAGCCTGCAGTGCTGGTATCCCATATGGGCACCAGTTTGAGTCCCGGCTGCTCCTCTTCCAATCCAGCTCTATGCTATGGCCTGGGAAAGCAGTAGAAGATGGCCCAAGTCCTTGGGCCCCTGTACCCGTGTGGGAGACCTGGAAGAAGCTCCTGGCTTCAGATCGGTGCTGCTCTGGCCATTGCGGTCATTTAGGGAGTGAACCAGTGGAATGGAAGACTCTCTCTCTGCCTCTCCTCTCTGTGTAACTCTGACTTTCAAATAAGTAAAGTAATCCTTTAAAAAAAAATAAGCTTTTAGGATGAAAATATCCTGCCACCCATGTGGGAGACCCAGATGGACTCTGGACTCCTGGCTTTGGCCCGGCCCAGTCCTAACTGTTGTGGGCACTGGGGAGTGAAGCAGTGGATTGGAACATTCCTCTGTGTCCCTGCTTTTCAAGTAGATGAAAATAAATAAATATTAAGAAAAAAAAAGATCTTGGAATGGAAAAAGGACACTGGCTAGCAGTGGAGATGAATCTAAATGAGGCACGGACTTGGAGAGCGGCGATGCGCAGAACTGGGTTTGTTAGTGTCGCTCCCCTACTCGCGGAGGAATGACACCGGACCCTGCGCTGTTCTCTTTGCCTGGCCCTTCCCGGGTTAGCTGCCGGCACCCCCGCCGCTTTCCCCGCTTCCACCGAGGAGCGGCACACCGCCAGCCGGCTCTCTCAGATGTTCCTGGTGCATGTTGTCTCTCTCCTCCTTTATAGTCCTCTTCCACCAATCCCAACTCTGCTACCCACACGCCGAGCACGCTGCTCTCCTCCAATCAGGAGCAGGATCAGCTCCTGCAGCTTGTTAGTTGAATTGGTGAGGCAGCTGTGTGGAAGTTGTTTACTCCCTCTCAGCGCCATATGGTGGGAGATCAGATGCATAGAATTAGCCTTAGCAGTTCCAGTAATTTAGTCTAGTCTCGGTTGCTCCCCACAGTTAGTTTTGGCAAGTGTGTTCAGCATAGAGAGAGGGACACGTGCTCAGGTTTTCTGGGCATCTAAGATACCTTGAGAGATGGTCTATTAATGAAAAAGAAGATAAGTGGATTTACAAATACTGAGTGCTAACTTCTCAGGTGACCGGTGGATGTGGCCAGAGACAGTGAGGCTGGGAAGAGTGCATCTGAGGACTGTTACTGGTGACCTTCACAAAGCCCTGGCGTGAGTTAGGGCCCAGGGGGTGGCAGAGCTGGCATGTGCCTTGGGGAGAGCGGGGCCGTGCAGGGCCAGCAGCTGGTGCCCCAGAGAGCCAGTGTGCACCCACACCAAGGAAGGGCCCCCACACGTGCCTTTTAAAATATAGAACTTTATTTTGGTTATCAAGATTTGTATAAGTTCACAGAAAAGTCATTTCTTACAAAATAATCAAGGCAGCATTTTGTACAGCGACTCACACTGGGGCCACCACACACAAGTGCAAAGGACAGTGCTGGGCACAGAAAGGGCTGGCACACTCGTGCCCGAGTCCTGGGGAGAGGCCAGCACTCCTGGCTTCCTCCAGCCCCCCTTCCCAGCCCACCCAACAGCAGCACCGAGGGCCCGACCTTAGCAGCCGGGGAAGCCGTCTGCCCAGCGCGGTGCAGCGGTCCCGCACAGAAGGCCGAGTGGGGGGACTGTTCAGGCTGAGCCGGCCCTGCATCCAGCCCCTCCCCACGTCGGGGGCAAGCCCGCCTGGCACCGCAGCCTCCGCATTCCCAGGACAGTTCAGGAAGCCCCTGGGAGCTGGCCTTCCTCTCCTCACTGAGGCCACAGCCCCGGCAGTGAGGTGTGGCTCCCGGCTCAGGGAGCCCACGGTGAGCGGGCAGACCCGGGAGCTCCAGGACAAGGCAGAAAGTGCTCAGGACCCTGAGAGGGCAGAGGGCTGGGAGGCTCTGCCGGGGGAGGGCAGTGTCCGCCAACCCTGGAGGAGTGGGTGGGGCCTGGGCTCAGGGCATGCCAGGGAGGGGCTGAGTGGGAACCAAGGCACAAGAGCGGGAGCCAGGGTCGTGCCAGGGACCGGGGGCACTCACTGGGGATTTGGATCCTCCCCCGGGGCAGGCACAGGGTTAATGTCCCCCAGAGTCGGAGGGGGGCTCCTTGAGAACAGAGGAGCCTCACACATCCTTGGCTGCCCACCTAGCACCTGCCTGCACAGCTGTGCCGCTAGGGAAGGGAGCCTCTGGCAGCAGGAGGTCCCTGTCATCCCTGGGGCGCTTTTAGGAGGGGCTTCCACCCCAAGTCCCTCCCTCACAAGTTCTTGTCCCTAAGAGACCTTAAATAAGCGAAAACTCCACTGCTGCAGCCTGCAGAGGCAGCCAGGAGGGGGCGCTAGGGTCAGGGGAAGGGGGCCCAGGCCAGGAGCAGCTGTCTCCACCGCACTGGAGTCTCTCCCTGAGAAGAGGCTTGGTCGGTGCACGTCACGCGGGCTTCCCTACAAAAGCCCGAGTCCCCAGCTCTCCACGAAACCCGCCAGCTCCTGCCCCTTCTCCTCCCAGGGCTGTGGAGCTGAAGTCCCAGCAGGCTGGGGCCTGCGCTTTCAGGGTGGCAAGGCGGAGGCGCTGGTCTCTCAGCCCTGGCAGGTGCGCCCCTACAGGATGGTGCAGAAGATGCTGCGGTTGCTGTGGTAGCCGCCTTCCACGCGCGCTGTGATCCTGGTCCCCATGGCCGTGACCTTCTGCCCGCTGTGGCCTGCAGAGGGGCCTCTGAGGGGGTTTTCAAGGTGAGGCCGAGCAGGTGGGTTTACCAGGCGCCACGTGTCGGACCTGGAGGTGCAAACCCGGAGTCAGGAACTGTGAGGCCTGAACGCCTGCAGGTCCCTGGGTCTGGTCTCTCCCAGGCGAGAGGCCGCCCACCGAGGGGCTGAAGGCCCGCTCTCCGCCCCACTCTGCACAGGTCTTCTGGGAGAAGTTCCCTCCATGGGCCCTGCTCTCCCTACCCACTTCCAGGAAGAATCTGGGTAAGACCAGCAGCTGCTGAATGACTGCGACTGTTCACAGCAGCTTTGTTCGTAACCACCAAAGCTAGAGACTAGGGTGGGTGCTTGGCCAAGGGGTTAAAACACTAGGACGCCCGCATCCCATATCAGAGCACCTGGGTTTGAGTCCCAGCTCTGCCTCTAATCCAGCTTCCTGCAAGGCAGCAGATGATGGCCATGAGTTGGGTCCCCAGTACCTGCAACAGCCCGAGCTAGGCCAGGAACACCACCTGGGTCTCACAGGGGAGGCAGGGCCCAAGCACCTGAGCCATCATCTGCTGCCTCCAGGGCGCATTCGCAGGAAGCTGGGTCAGAAACTGAGACTTGCACAGCAAGTGTGCATCCCAAATGGTGACTTAACCACTATACTTAACCACTCCCAGAGCACTCACTTGATAAACCGAACCCGGCAGAATAAACAGGAGAGAATGGACTAGGGCCTGGCCCACAGGCAGGAGGGGATCATCGTCACCATCTTTGCACAAAGCGCTGACCAATCAGAACAAGCTGGACTGCTAATACGTGTCAGAGGTCAGGGTGAGGGGTGCTTAGGTCTTAATCGGACTGGCAGCGGTTGGGGGAGAGAAGCCAGATGCAAGAATACTCTAGAAGCAGAACCCAGAGGACCTGGCTGAGCGGACTTTGGTGCCGGGGAGCAAGAGGCGGCAAAGCTTTATAGCCGGGGGCTGGTGATGCCATCACATGGGGAACATGGGAGGAGAAGCTCTGGGGATGATGAGTGGGAGGCAACTGGGAACTGAGGCAGAGGTACTAGACACAAGTACTGCAGCAGGAAGAGCACCTAGCATTTTTGTGAAACTACAGATAGATCTGACCTTATCCCAAGTTGGTGCCAAAAGGGGAGATAGTAACAACTAGATTTCACTAAGGCTCAGAGGTGTCTCGGTAACTTGCCCAAAGTCACACAGCCAGTACCTGGCAGAGATGAGACATGAAACCAAATACCCTGATGCTCAGGTCTGTTCCCTCCCGGGGAGTCAGGTACAAGTTCTCTGGCCAGGCCGCCGGGGCAAGGGCAGCCGGGTCACTAGGCCTGCGTCTGGCTCCCCAGCGACCTCATGGTTCGGGCAGCGCTGGGCACTTACTTCTTCCTGAAGACCAGGAACTTGTTGTTCTGCATGACGCAGTCCCGGTTGTTTGCGATCTGCTGGAAGATGGTCTTGCTGGTCTTGCCCTGGAAGATGATGTTATCCTGCACCAGGGCCTTGGCGCGGCCCCGCACTGCGATGCCGTAGGCCCGGAATGAGTGGATCCGGTTCTTTATTACCTGGGAGAGGCAGCCACAGCTTGTCAGACCTCAGGGACTCAGGCAAGTGAGTCACTTACATGATAAACTATAAAACCGAGGGGTAAAACATTCTAGGTGGGGGCCAGGGCTGTGGCATAGTAGGTGAAGCTGCCACCTGCGATGCCGACATCCCATATGGGCGCTGCTTCCTATCCAGCTCCCTGCTGTAGCCTGGGAAAGCAGTAGAAGATGGCCCAAGTGCTTGGGCTCCTGCACCCACGTGGGAGATTGGAAGAAGCTCCTGGCTTTGGCCTAGCACAGCCCTAGCCATTGTGGCTAGGGAGTGAACCAGCAGGTGGAAGATCTCTCTATGTCTCTCTCCTCTCTCTCTAATGCTTTCAAATAAATAAATGTTAAAAAAAAAAAAAAGACAAAGACAAAAGAGAAAGAGTTACTTCCAGGTCTCCCACGGGAGTATGGGGCCCAAGGACATCTGTTGTCTTCTGCTGCTTTCCCAGGTGCATTAGCAGGGAGCTGGACTGGAAGTGCAGCAATCAGGACTCGAACTGGTGTCCATATGGGATGCCAGCACTGCAGGAGGCTGCTTAACCCTCTGTGCCACAGCACTGGCCCTGACTTTCAAATAAATAAATAAATCTTAAAAAATAATAAGCTAGGTAGGTCAGCCGAGAGCCAAAGGAACTCAAGGAAGAGCAAGAAGACCAGCCTGGAGGAACCAGGGAAAGCTTCCTGGAGGAGGTGATGCGTTAGCTGTCAGAGTTACCAGGTGCAGAGCAAGGGCGAGTTATTCCAGGAAGAAGCCACGTGCAAGGGCTGGTAGAGAGGAAGCTGGTGCCGGAAGCCAGGGCTGCTGAGACCCAACCGAGGCCGCGGTGTGGCCCTCGCTCCCTGTTTCCACAGCACTCGCAAGCCAAGTCGAGGAATTCTCTGCTCCTCGCCTGTCACTGCTTGTGCAGCTGCAGAGCTGACCAGAGCCTCTGGGGCCCGATTCCACCAGGGCAGGGACCGGGTCCGTCGGGGAAGCCGTGCAATGGCCCCAGCGCAGAGGTCTGCACACGGAGCTCGGTGCTCACGGTGTGAGGCGCAGGCAGACAGGCAAAGGAATGGGTGTAAGGCACTGCGGGAAGAGGGGCTCTGCGAGGGGCAGCTACCCCGACGTCCTAAGAGGCGCCTCAGACAGCTGGAGGACTCGGAAAATTGGGGCAGGGGGTTTCCAGCGCACGTGGAAGAGCATGTGCAAAGGCCCTGAGGCAGGATCTCTATGAAGCACCCGCTGCATGCCGGATCGTGCACAGATCATTCTCCTGGGGAAGGGAGCTGAAATAGTTCTGACCCCGACCCGGGACCAGGAAGACGCCTCAGGAGGCTTCCAGAACCCCCGGTCTCCTGTGGGTGAACTCTCACTCAGCCTCAGGGCCCAGCTCACGCATCCCCTCCTACATGCGGCCCCACTGGCATCTCCAGGGGCGCGTCTTGGCAGGAGGGACGGCATCCCCTGCAGAGCTGGGAGCTCATGCTTCTGCGCTAGGCAGAGGGGCACACGCCGCAGCCGTGCACGCGCCCTCACCTTGGTGTCGGGCACATGTCACACAGCCGTGCACACACCCTCACCTTGGTGTCGGGCACACGTCACACAGCCGTGCACGCACCCTCACCTTGGTGTCGGGCACACGTCACACAGCCATGCACACACCCTACCTTGGTGTCAGGCACACGTCACACAGCCATGCACACACCCTACCTTGGTGTTGGGCACTCGTCACACAGCCGTGCACATGCCCTACCTTGGTGTCAGGCACACGTCACACAGCCGTGCACGCGCCCTCACCTTGGTGTCACACAGCCATGCACACACCCTACCTTGGTGTCAGGCACACGTCACACAGCCATGCACACCCCCTACCTTGGTGTCGGGCACACGTCACACAGCCGTGCACACACCCTCACCTTGGTGTCAGGCACACGTCACACAGCCGTGCACGCGCCCTCACCTTGGTGTCACACAGCCATGCACACACCCTACCTTGGTGTCGGGCACACGCCGCAGCCGTGCACGCGCCCTCACCTTGGTGTCGGACCTGGGCAGCAGCTGCAGCCCGCTGCCCCGGTTGCCGATGATGTCGTTTTCAATGACGACTGTGCTGTCGCCTTTGGTGATGACGCCGTGGCCTCTGTTGTCATAGATGCCATTTCCCCGGAGCTCCACCTTGCACTGGGCCTCGACCTTGACCCCACTCTGGCGGTTGCAAGAGATGCTGTTGTTGGCCACGCGGGTGAGCTGGCTGCTCTGGGCCACGGTGATGCCTCGGTCGCCATTGGCATGGATCACGTTGGCGGTGACGTGCAGGGCCTCGCTGCTCTGGACGTACAGTCCTGAGGCTACGGGCAGGGAGAGCACAAGGTGGTCCCAGAGTCAGCCCTGACAACACGGGCAGGCAAGTCTGCCCTGAATCACACGCCCCGGTGAGCGAGCCTGAGTCGGCTCTGCCTGGGCCTCTGCCAAGCTTCCCCCGTCGCGGAGACGAGAGCCGCCTATTCCACGCAGACACGGCCGCCAGCTCCACCCGCCAGGAAATGTACCCGTTTGTTTTCTTTCCCATACTGAGCTGGAGTCTGCCTCCCTACTGGTTTTTTTTGTTTTGTTTCAATTTTTTAAGATTTATTTTATTTGAAAGGAAGAGTTACAGAGAGGCAGAGAGAGAGAGAGAGAGAGAGAGAGAGAAAGGTCTTCCATCCGCTGGTTCACTCCCCAGATGGCTGCAACAGCCAGAGCTGAGCTGATCTAAAGCCAGGAGCCAGGAGCTTCTTCCTGGTCTCCCACACAGGTACAGGGGCCTGAGGACTTGGGCCATTTTCTACTGCTTTCCCAGGCCATAACAGAGAGCTGGCTCAGAAGAGGAGCAGCTGGGACTTGAACTGGCACCCAAATGGGAGGCTGGCACTGCAGGTGGCTATGCCACAGCGCCAGCCCCGTGCCTCCCTACTGTTGTATTTTCTTCATAAGAGAAACTCTGTAACTTGTATTATTATTTTTTTTGACAGGCAGAGTGGACAGTGAGAGAGACAGAAAGGTCTTCCTTTTCCATTGGTTAACCCCTCAATGCCCGCTGCGGCTGGCGGGCTGCGGCTGGTGCACCGTGGTGATTCGAAGCCAGGAGCCAGGTGCTTCTCCTGGTCTCCCATGGGGTGCAGGGCCCAAGTACTTGGGCCATCCTCCACTGCACTCCCGGGCCACAGCAGAGAGCTGGACTGGAAGAGGAGCAACAGGGACAGAATCCGGTGCCCCGACCAGGACTAGAACCCGGTGTGCCGGCGCCGCAGGCAGAGGATTAGCCTAGTGAGCCATGGCGCCGGCTGTAACTTGTATTATTAAGAGAAGGAATATGTGTCTGAAAGAAGTCAGGGAAGGGAGCCAGGGTACTGGTATTGCCTATGCTCGGACACAGTGTGTGCACGGGAGCCTGGCACGTGGACCTGCCGGGAAGAGGTCACGGCAGGCCCGGGCGGAGCGGGGCAGACTCTGCAGTAGCTCTGGAGGTGTGGGGCGCCAGGGAGGGTTCTTGAGTGGATGTAGTGGGAGGCACTCACCTCCGTTATGGTTCACACTGTTGGACTCCACCAGCGCCACGGTGACAGGCCGGCGCAGTGGGTCGTCGTCTTTCTCCAGCTCCGGCTCCCAGAGGATGGCGTCCCCGTCCTCGCTGAAGTTCTCCTGGGCGCCGTGGCCTCCAGGGAACTCGCTGGCGCCATCCTTCTGGCTGAACACTGCCACCCCGTACAGGCCGTTGTAGCTGACGTGGTTGCTGGTGACGTGGGGCAGGCTGGATGACATCATCCACACGCCACAGCCCTTGTTAGCTAGGACAACCAAGAGCCGGTCACTGGCACCCAACGGCAGGGGAGGTAGCACCCAGTGTCCCTGCAAGCGGGGAGCAAAGAGGCACTGGCCTGGGGGACAGAGGCCCTGACTGGCTAATGGCCTTGGCCTGGCTGGCGAGACGGATCAGCTCAACTGCAGGGGCTAGGACCATTCCACAGGGTGAGTGCTGCTGACCACTGTCAAGGCCACACTGAGAGCAGGGGCGCGTGCACTGTCACTGTGCAGCCAACCCCTCCCCACCAACCCCACCCCTCTGAGGCTGCGGCCTCCGTCCGCGTTCCAGCCGCTGGCTTCCTAGGCGTGGCACCCTGACCGGGTGAGCAAGCCCTCCATGCCCCATGTTGGCGGGCTGACAGCGGTACCTAAGGCAGGCGGCAGGTGGCAGGCGTGAGGAATGTGTGTGATATGTGTGCAGAGGTGGCCCGAGAAGTGTTCTCAGTACCTTGGGCACCATCCAGGAGACAAGAGCCTGCTCTAAGCCCCCGACAGGGGGAACAGTTTTCTGTGAGTGTCTTGTTTTCTTGGTAAATGAGGGTACTTCGAAAAGTCAGGGAAAATGGAATTTAAAAATAAATCTATTCTGGTGCAAAGACACCTGGAACCCACACACAATTTTTTTATAATATGCATTTCGGTTCTCTGGCTCCCAGAGGAGCCCGGAGCCCAGGTCAGAGCTGCCTGTGGCCGTCCTCAGTGGGAATAAGGGAGGTATGGCTCTGTTATGCTGGCCCCTGGGGCTGATGGGAGGGGCTCCCAGCCGGTGAGGCCTGTGTGACCGAGACCGATGCGTTCCCTGGGGTCCCAGGAAGCCGGTGACTTTCTCGGGACTTCCGGCCCCCTCCCCGGGAACCCCCGCTCACCGTAGATGGTGTTTCCTTCTATCAGGCCCTTGCCCTCGTCCCCGACGACCACGCCGTCGGAGTAGCCAAAGCAGATGAGGTTGCTCCTGAGTACGGGGACGCCTCCGCGGCGGATGTCCACGCCGCCCCACTGGTTCTCACGGATGACATTTTCTACGGAGACAGGCAGAGAATGAGGTCCACAGCCAAGAGCCATCTCTGGCACTGGCAATGGGGCGTGGACAGCTAGAAGGGGCACTCCAGACAGCATACACAGACCCGGCCGGGCCGGCAGTCAGCACCTCGCAGTGTGTCTGTCTGTGGCTTGGGTGCTTCTCATTCCCCGGAAGCTGCTGTTCCCCGGGGCCCACAAAGCCCAAAAGGCAGCGTCCAGCCCTCCCCCAACGCCAGCCAAAGCGCTAGCCTGCCTGTCTGCCGCGGCTCTGTGCTTTGACCAAACCCTCCTCTTCCTCCTCCTGCGGGAGCGCACTGAAGAGACAGGGGCGCCCCAGATCCTGCTGCTGTCTGCTGTGGCAGGCCAGACTCCTGACCTCCCGGGACTTGGGTGCAAAGACTCAGGAGAGCAGCCCCACCTCTGGCCCCTTGCCCCTCGCTCACCGCCCTCCCATCCCACAAGCACGCGCGCCAATCTGGGGCCTGCTGGGTCTGCTCCACAGCCCCCTGAGGAAGGCTCTTTCCTGGGCTCCCTCCTGGCACTCAGGTTCTGGCTTGGGCCAGCTCCTTCCAAGGGCCTGCTCCGACCACACAGCCCCTCACCACCTGGCTTTTTTTTTTTTTTTTTTTTTTGACAGGCAGAATGGACAGTGAGAGAGAGAAAGGTCCTCCCTTGCCGTTGGTTCACCCTCCAATGGCCACCGCGGCCGGCACGCTGCGGCCGGTGCACCGCGCTGATCCGATGGCAGGAGCCAGGTGCTTCTCCTGGTCTCCCATGGGGTGCAGGGCCCAAGCACTTGGGCCATCCTCCACTGCACTCCCTGGCCACAGCAGAGAGCTGGCCTAGAAGAGGGGCAACCGGGACAGAATCCGGCGCCCCGACTGGGACTAGAACCCGGTGTGCCGGCGCCGCAAGGCGGAGGATTAGCCTAATGAGCCACGGCGCGGGCCACCACCTGGCTTTAACGACCCGGCGAGCACTTATTGCCCTCACACAGGCCCTTTCTCGCTCACATCAAGGTTTTATTTTTTGGTTTCTGCCTTCTAAGACGCAGTTCCCAAGAGCAGAGATGGTGTCTGCTTCGCTCACTGCTGCATCTCCGGCCCCTGGAACACGACCTGCGTGCAGTGTGTGCTCAGCAAGTGTCTGAGGAAGGCTGGCACGGGCTGTCCAACTCCCGCGCACACCCTAAGGCTGGCTCTGCTCTGTGCTGAGGCTCCACTGACGGACGAGGCTTGATCCTCAGCCTGTGGAATCTAAGCCTTGAAACAGGCGGCGGACAAGACAGGTCGCTGAGACACTGAGCAGGACAGGCTGGGGCGGCTGTGTGCACGGGGAGGGCGCCTAGGAAGTGACCCTGAGGCCGAGACCCAGGGGTGAGGAGTTGGCCAGGCAGAGAGGGCTCGCCGGAGCAGGGGAGGTGCATCCACAGCGGAGGGCGGGACCCAGCCAGGTGGCCTGGCATCAATGCTTCTGCAAGAGTCACGACACTGCCAGGTGAGATCTTCCAGTTCTAGGCCTGGTAAAGGGCAGAGACCGGCCCTGTGCTAGGCCTTCCCACGGCTAAGGTGGCCCAGGCGTCCCTGAGGGCCAGCCCACGAGACAGAGAAAGAGAACAAAGTCTGTGGCGAGGCCGGGGACGCTGGCCAGGTTGCTGGCGGCCTTGGCTGGCGGAGGCCCCACCCCCAGCCCATCCCATACCTGTGATGAGGCCTTTGCCATTCTCATTCACAGCTATGCCAGCAGCACGGCCCTTGAAGATGTGGTTCCCGCTGAAACAGATGAGAACAAGAGAGAGGTGAGCCCAGGGTACCAGTGTCTGCTTTAACACGACCGCCTTTCCTGGGGGCTTCCTTATGGCTGAGTCCACAGAGACCTAAAGCACTGCCCAAAGCCCCACAAGCCGAGTATTTAGAAATCTTTTACTGTCCCTGGGACGGGCAGACCAACACCAAATCCACAACTGCCCACACAAGCACCAGGACAGCCTCTTACCAACTACATATAAACACCACTTTATTAGTTTATAGGTGGCTCTAATGTTTGTTATTTTCATCTACTTGAAAGGCAGACCATTGGGAGGGGGAAAAAAGAGAGAGAGAGAGGGAGAAAGGGAGGAGGAGAAAGACAGAGGAGATCTTCCATCTTCTGGTTCACTCCCCAAATGCCCGCAACATCCAGGGATGGGCCAAGCCTGAACTCTGTCCAGGTCTCATTTATATCGCAGAGTCCCAGGGCCTGAGCACCCTCTGCTGCCTCCCGGAGTGGAAGCCGAGTATCCAGGACTCAGACCAGCACTCCTCCAATACTGGATGTGGGTGTCCCAAGTGGCAGCTGAAGCCACTAGGCCACAACACCTGCCCCTAAACACCACTTTAAACTGATGCCTTCATGGTTCCCGGGTCACGGGTGAAGTCTCGGTGGCACAGAGTTCCTAGGTGGCTGTGTGTCCCAAGTGTGAATTAGACTCTGCCTGTATCGAAGGCACAGTCTCCCATTTGCAGCCAAGTCACTCCTCATGCTTAAAAGGAGAACACCAGATTCTGACAGGGGGTTTCAGGAACACTGGCAAAGTGCCTGGGAGCTGGGCAGGTGCTGTGGTGTAGTAGACCAAGCCTCCACCTGCAGTGCGAGCATACCATATGGGCGCTGGTTCAGATCCAGCTCCAGCTCCCTGCTATGTGCCTGGGAAAGCAGGCCCAACTGCTTGGGCCCCTGCACTTACAATGGAGACCCTGAAGAGGCTCCTGGCCCTGGCCCTGGCCTGGCACAGTCCTGGCCGTTGTGGCCATTTGGGGAGTGAACCAGTAGATGGAAGATCATCTCTCTCTCTCTCTCCTTTTCTCTCGGTATCTCTGCCTTTCAAATAAATAAATCTTAAAAACAAAAACAGAAACAAGAAGTGCCTGTGAAATCTTACAGGCAGTAGCCTGCGGATGCAAGCTGTGCGAGGACATGTGCCGGCTCAGAGAGCCACACAACCCTCACTGCCACATGCAGGCCTGGGCAATGAGTTCCTCAAAGCAATGCAGTGGGGCTGGCGTGTGGCACTGAGGTAAGCTGCCCGCTCGATGCCAGCATCTCATATATCGGGGTGTCTGGAATCGAGGACTGCCTCTTTCTCTCTTTCTCCCTTTCTCTCTCTCTTTCTCTCTTTCTTTCAAAGATTTCTTTATTTCAAAAGTAGAGTTAGTTGGGCCAATCTGAAGCAATGAGCCAGGAGCTTCTTCCAAGTCTCCCATGTGGGTGCAGGGGCCCAAGGACTCAGGCCATCTTCTACTGCTTTCCCAGGTCATAGCAGCGAGCTGGATTATAAGAGGAACAGCCAGGAACCGAACCGGTGTCCATGTGGGATGTTGGCACTGTAGGCGGCAGCTTTACTCACTATGCCACTGCGCTGGCCCCCAGCCTCTGTTTCTGATCCAGCTTTCTGCTAATGCTCCAGGGAAGGCAGCAGAAGATGGCCAAATTCCTTAGGCCCCTGCCACACAAGTGGGAGACCCAGATGGAGTTCCTGGCTGTTGCGAACATTTGGGGAATGAACCAGTGGACAGAACTCTCTCAGTCCATCTTTCATATAAGTAAATAAATAAATACATCTGAAAAACAACTCCACCGACTACCAATGCAAGTCTCTGCACCCCAGATTCACTGTCCGCAAAGACAAAGCAAGTCACCCCTGACATCAACAGTACTGGGCTGTCCCCAGAGGACACACGCTGGCTGTTTGTCATCCTTACTAACAGGAATGCCATAATGCCCTTCCCCACCAGAAGGGCCCTGCCCTGAGGGACCTAGCTCCGAACACTCATCTGGGCCTTCAGGGCCTAACACAGGCCTGGCCCTCCACGGCACCTCACTGATTAGGAGTCTGCCAAGTGTCCCCACTGCTTGGGCAGGATCCAAATGACTTCCTGGGGATGAAGACGGACAATTATGTTGATGTTGGGAAGGCCAAGTGCCAACTCCATCTATGTATTTTGGAGTTTAACAAGCAAAATTATCCTCTAAAAAAAATCCCTTTCTTTTAAACTCAGATTTGAAGAGTCTGCTTTGGTCTGGTCACTTCAATCATCTGATAGTTCCCGCGGGTTTCTAGCATTCTCAGTCAGGTGCGGCACCTGGGCTGGAGCATGCCATATCCACATCTTAGACAGCTGGGCCACAGGCAGCAAATGCATGGCTCGTATATTTCTTTTTTCCCCCCTCATTTTATTTGAAAGGAAGAACGACAGAGGGAAAAAGACAGAGATCGTCCATACTCTGGTTCACTTCCCAAATGCTTGCAATAGCCAGGACTAGGCCAGGGTAAAGCCAGGAGCCCAGAACTTAATCCGAGTCTCCTACGTGGGTGGGAGAGACTCAGACTCGAGTCACCAGCTGCTGCCTCCCAGGGTGCTCATCAGCAAGAAGCCGGATGGAAGCAGAGCCAGGACTTGAACCAGCCACTCCAATAAGGGACGCAGGAGTCCCAAGCAGCATGTTCTCTGCTGCATCAACGCCCACTCGGGTGATCCGTTTTTAGTACAAATCTCACTTCCAGAAAAGATCATGGCCACTCGGAGAAACCTGTACGCCGAGAAGGCAAAATAAAGGAGAAACAGACAACACCTAGAAGGGGACCGATTGGAGCACCAACAACCAAGGACAGGACATTTACTGCAGGTGAGCAGGCTGAGCCCTGTGCTTCCTTGTAGCCAAGGCAAAAAGAAAAGCACAACAGGTTCCATAAATCTCAGTGGCAAAGACACGTGCTGTGGTTTGCTCCATGCAGGTCACTGTGGGGATGGATCTCAGTCTTCCTTCTGAATCCTCCCTTAGACTCCTGCTCCCCATCACAAAGAACTGCTGGAAGAAAGCACACAACCTTTCCTTTCAAGGTGACGATGTTTTAAAACCCCAGGTCACTGATCTGATGACGCTATTCCTCATTCAAGCCCTCCAGCGGTTCCCGAGCACCACAAGGTGAGGTCCAAACCAAGAAGCCGGGTGTATTAGTTTCCTGTTGTTTCTATCACAAACTACCACGGTGCTAGTGGTTCAAAACAGCACAAACTTGTTTCCCAGGGCAGGAGTTTAGAAGTCCAATGAGGAGACTTGGTTCACTGTCACTTCCAGCGTCTAGAGGTTGGCCCCATTTCTTGGCCGGTGGCCTCATCACTCTGACCTCTGCTTCTGCCGTCTCCTCCTGCTCCCTTCTTATGAGGACCTCTGCTGCTCTACTGAGACCATGCAATAATCCAGAGTCAGTCCCTGACTTAATCAGATCCCATCTAGAAAGCTCCTCTTGCCGGGTCAAGGAGAGCAGTTTCTGGTTCCGGGGACGAGTCAGTATTCTGCCTCCCGCAGCTGGCATTCGGGCCCTGTGTGCTCTGGCAGCAAGCTGTCCTTGCACCGTCTCCCAGAGGATCGTGTGTCTCTACATACTCTGAATTTCGCTGCCACTGGGCCCGAATGCCTTTCCCAGCCATAAAATCCTGTTTCTCCTTTAAGCAAATATCAGCTCCCCACATGCCCTTCCCCCACACTCAGCCCAAACTGTGGCTGAGCTGATTTGGCATGTGGCATGGAGACCCAGGGAGGCTGCCGTGGTGGTGCAGGTGACGGTGAGCTCCATGGAGTACACTGCGCTGATACAGTTTTTATGCTGCTGGCCCCTTATATGAACTAACTTACATCTGAGTTAAATATACAATATGTGGGCTGGTGCTGTGGTACAGCAGGTTAGCCTGTAACCTGTGACACTGGCATCCCATGTGGGTGCCGGTTTAGGTCCCGGCTGTTCTACTTCTGATTCAGCTCCCTGCTAATGGCCTGGGAAGGCAGCAGATGATGGCCCAAGTACTGGGTCCCCTGCCGCCCACATGGAATTCCAGGTTCCTGGCTTTGGCCTGGTCCATCTCTGGTTGCTGTGGCCATTTAGGGAGTGAATCAGCAGATGGAAGACCTCTCTGTCTCTCTCTGTAACTTTGCTTTTCAAGTAAATAAATAATTCTTAAAAAAAAAAAAAACCAAATAAATCACATATCAATCAACACATATACATACAAACATATACCCTTAAGGCAATAGAAGGGAAAATAGCTCTATGAACACAAATTACTATCAATAAGCTAGTGTCTAGCAGTAGAAAGACAACATCTGCCTAAAAATAATAGAACTGGCTTAGAAATTATGGTATATCAAAAAAAGTCACTTTCCAAAGTGATAAAGGCCACAAAAGTACACACAGAATACAAGGAAACCTTGGAAGATCTGCTGCATATCATGGCCAGCTATATTATATATGCTAGTGAATTTATTTGAAACAGAGCTACAGAGGGATATAGAGAGCCAGAGAGAGGGAGACAGATATTCCACCCACTGGTTCACTCTCCAGATGGACACAATGGTTCACCCAGGCTGGAGTCAGGAGTCAGGAGTCAGGAGCTTCATCCAGGTCTCCCATGTGGGTGCAGGGGCCCAAGCACTTGGGCCATCCTCTACTGCTTTCCTAAGCACATTAGCAGGGAGATGGATCGGAAGTAGAACATCCAGGACACACACCAGTGCCCATATGGGACGCTTGCATTGCAGGCGGCAGTTTAATCCACTACACCACAACACTGTCCCAAATACCAAGTATTTTCCTAGGGCACAGACACACCTGTGGGAGGCCTCTGCTCAGTGGCTGCCAGCGTTGTGACACAGTGGGTTAAACTGTTGCTTAGGACACTCACTTCCCATATCAGAGTGCCTGGCTCAAGTTCCAGCTACTCTGCTTCTGATCCAGTAATATGCCTGGGAGGATGCAGATAATGGCCCAGGTACTTGGGTTCCTGCCATCCACATGGAGAGTTCCTGGATCCTGGCTTTGGCCTGGGCAAGTCCTGGCTGTTGCAGGTATTTGGAGAGTGAACCAGTAGATGGAGGCTTTCTCTCGCTCTTCCTCTCCCTCTTTTACTCTGTCTTTCAAATAAAGAAATAATAATTCAATCTTAAAAAAAAAAAAAAACAGTAATCACCCACCGTGTAGACAGAATAAACTCCACCGTCCTCAGCTTGGTTGCCATCAGGCCTTTCCCAGCTGGCCCAAGCCTGTCTATCACTTTCTACTCTGCTGTGCCATGGGGGTATAAGGTCACACAGCAGTGACATGGGGCCCAAGATTATTTTAGGACACTCTCAACCTACACCAATGTCACCATTTTTATCAGGATTGTTCCTGAGCCACGGGGGACTGTTTGCTGACCTGCAACCCGGGTCATGTGGTTTCCTTTCTTAGGAATGGCCCCTGCCCTCATCCAAGTCCTACCCATAGTCCAAAGTGTGACTCTAATGCAACCTCCTAACTGAGGCCTTCCCACATCCACCCAGTCAGAATGATCCTTTTCTTTTGGAAGCAATGGGATGGAGTCTGCCAGTCTGCCCCATCCTCTAGTGGGATGGCAGACACAGGGTCCCTGTACTGCCGCTGTTCCTCCCAGCTACGACTCACATCACTAACTCATCATAGCACACTCTCATGCTAGGCCGACGTAGCTCCAGGATCTTAACACAGCCTCCCAGGAGGCCACCATCAACAGACAGTAGCTGTCCAGTGAGTGGACATCGCCATAGCACCCCTGACCCAGACTATGTCTGTACATGGAAGTCCTCCTAGGGATCAGACCTGGTCCTTGCCCACGTCTGTCAGCCCTCGGGAGAGGTGCCCAGTGACATCTGTGGATGGACAGAGCACCAGGGCAGCTGTGCCACTGCAGTGGGATGAGGCAAGTGTCTGCTTCCCTTGCATGTGCACAGTCGTTTTCAAATGGAGGAAAGAGGGAGTGCAGGAAACAGGGCAGAGCACGACGGGGCCACTGACCAGCGAGACAGCCAGGGGACGGCAGCACATACCTCACGATTGGGTTTCCATGGTACAGGATATAAATGCCGGCCTCCTTATTGGAAAATATTTGATTATTCCGGATGACGCCTTTCCCATTGCCGAGGACCACAATGCCAGAGCGAAGGCCATGGTGGATCTGGTTACACTGCAAGTGAAAGTGAGACGCCACGGAACACACATCAGACATGCCACAGAGCCACAGGCTGCTCAACCACGGGCTCACAATGCTGCCAGGCGCCAGGATCAGCAAAGCAGAGAGAAGACTGTCACTGGGAAGACCCCAGCCGTGACTGAGGGGACACACCCGCTGTGGCCCTGCCCTTCCTGCACAGGTGTGCACGGGGACAATGTGGAGATGGGAGTCTTTGTGCCTGGCCTCTCAGGATGTGCTACGGAGGTACCTGCTTGCCCAGGGCTTTGGCACTTCCTCTGCAAGGCAGGCTGCTGAAAGTTTCTGACCCTCTAAAGCAGGGGTGGGAGCCTTTTCCTGCCATTTGGATATCTGTAACATCATCTGTGGGCCATATAAAATCATCAACTTAAAAATTGGCCTGCTATAGATTTACTGAATTTTGAGTCCTGCCTGTGGTGGCCTTGGCAGGGCCAGACTGAATGATTCACACAGCAGCCATCCAGGCCCCATCTCCCAGGCCCCAGAGCCCACCTCCCAGGGAGGGGCAGCACAATGCTGGCCAAGTCCAGTCCCAAGGCGGGACACATCCAGGGAGAGCCAGTGGCTTCTGGTCTTTACTTCTCATGCATGGGGAGGCCTGTGGGAAGATGCAGGTGCTTGGGGCTTAGCTGTACCATGGGGCAGAAGGTCACAGAAGGTTTAGGAACTGCAAGATACTCAGAGACATTCATTTCTAATACCTCCTTAAACAAATGGGGAAATGTCCAGGATTACATTGTCCATTTGTGACAGAGCAACGTCTGAAACTAGTTTTCTGTCTCCTGGTCCAGGTAGTTGCCTTGCTCACTGACTTTATTTTACCACTGGAAAAACTATTTTATTTGGGAGGGAGAGGAGAAGGAAGAGGAGGAGAGAGAGAGGAGAGTGCGTGTGTGCAAGTGGACTGGTTCACTCCCCAAATGTCCGGGAGCCAGGAACTCAATCCAGGGTGGGTGCAGGGACCCAACTACATAAGCCATCCTCTGTTGCTCCTGGGCTGCACACCAGCAGGAAACTGGCCTGGGGCAGAGCCAAGACGAGCACCCAGCACTGATGTGGGACACGGGCATCTCAACCACAGCACCGAGTGCCTGCCCTTGAATTAATCTTTTAGATTATAGTAAATTATAATAAAATCCTCCCTCTATACAGCCAAAACCTAATCCCACACTTAAACCAGGGTGTGATTTTACAGAAACAAAATTCTAGCATGTTTTCAACATCTCCTCACTCTCTCCCTTTCCAGGTTTTCCCCAAATGATCTGGCAGACTCGCCAGGGCAACCACAGCCTGAGAGAAGTCCCTTGCAGGGTTAAAAAGCTCCGAGAAGCCGGCGCCGTGGCTCACTGGGTTAATCCTCCGCCTGCGGTGCCAGCATCCCATATGGGCGCTGGGTTCTAGTCCCGGTTGCTCTTCTTCCAGTCCAGCTCTCTGCTGTGGCCCGGGAGGGCAGTGGAGGATGGCCCAAGTGCTTGTGCCCTGCACCTACATGTGACACCAGGAGGAAGCGCCTGGCTCCTGGCTTTGGATAAGTGCAGCGCCGGCCATAGTGGCCATTTGGGGGGTGAACCAACGGAAGGAAGACCTTTCTCTCTCTGTCTATAACTCTACCTGTCCAAAAAAAAAAGGAAGCAAGCTCTGAGAGAGAGAGAGAGACATGTGTAATGGCACAGCCTTTCACAAAGCCAGGACTGAAATGTGCTTCCCCCTCCCTGCTCTCCACCTGCTCAGTTGGCCTGCTTCCCCCTGTCCCTCTGTCTGGGGAAGGCAGATTCCTCTCATCTCTTGGCAAGGGGGGGCAACCGGTTCCCAGGCCAAGGCCATGTACCAACCACCAGCTGCATGGCAGAACACAGCAAGGGGAGGGCCCGGCAGAGGACAGTCTTTAAATACAGCTGGGAATCCTCTCTCTGCACTTTCAGGGAGGTCGTGGCTCGAAAGGCTTAAGAACATCAGCCCGAGTCAGGCTGCCTGGATTCAGGCAGTTGTACGACTTTGAGCAAGGTCCCCTGCCTCTTTCCTGCTTCAACGTCCTCACCTATAAAATGGAGCTAATAATCCTCCTTCGGAGGCTGTGTGAGGATTAAACAATAATTAAATATCTATAAAGGAGAGTATCTGTCATCCCATAAACATTACACGTTAAGGGCAGCTATAATTTTTCTAAGCTCATATAAAGACTGTCATAGTTCCCAACTTCTGGGAAACGTGTGTTTCCAGAAAAGTCAGAGTAGAAAAGAGGTTGGTCTCTCATGACACTGCTCAGATTACAGCATTTGAAATGGTTTCCACACTGGTGTGAAATCAAACTCAATATGCAAAAATTCACAGTGCCCATGAATAACAACTTTAGAATTAAAGATCCCGGGGCCAGTGCTGTGGCATAGTGGGTAGAACTGCCTCCTGTAGTGCTGGCGTCCTATGTGGGCACCTGTTAGAATCCTGGCTGCTCCATTTCCAACCTAGCTCCCTGCTAATGGGCTTGAGAGAGCAGCAGAGGATGGTCCAAGTGCTTGGGCCTCTGTACCCACATGGCAGACCCAGAGGAAACTCCTGGCTTCAGAATGGCCTAGCTCTGGCCATTGTGGTCATTTGGGGAGCAAATCAGCAGATGGAAGATCTCTGTCTCTTCGTCTCTATATATAATTCTGCCTTTCAAATAAATAGATAAATCTTTAAAAAAAACCAAAAAGCTAAAGATCCTAAATGTCCCGTTTACAGAAAAGAGTGAATTAACGTGGAGGGTTATTTCTGGACTCAGATCCAAGTGGATGGATCTGAATCTGGGGCGGATGTCCATCCTTACTTTATTTATTTATACAAGCCATTTTCAGGAACGGGTGCTTTCTTTTTCTTTTCAAAGATTTCATTTATTTATTTGAGAAACAGAGTTACAGACAGAGGCAGAGACAGAGAGAGAGGTCTTCCATTCACTGGTCCATTCCCCCATTGGCCACAATGGCCAGAACTGAGCTGATCTGAAGCCAGGAGTCAGGAGCTTCTTTTGGGACTCTCAAGTGGGTGCAGGGGCCCAAGCTCTGGGGCCATCTTCTACTGCTTTCCCAGGCCACAGCAGGGAGCTGGATCGGAGGAGGAGCAGCCAGGACGTGAACCGGTGCCCACATGGGATGCCGGCACCGCAGCCGGAGGCCTAGCTCACTATGCCACAGCGCTGGCCCTCTATCCTTATTCTTATCAAACTCAAAGCCAACACAGCACACGAGAGTAGAGGAAGAGGCCCTCCCTCATGGGAGGCTGGGGAACGACTTGTCCAGAGTCACTGCCAACGCCTGGAGAAACCAGGAGGGACGCAGAGCAGAGCAGGGGCCACCCTCACCTCCGTGTGCTCAGCGAAGCTTTCGGGGACCTACCAGGATGAGGGGGTTGGACTTCTTTCGGATGTCCACGCCAGCCTCGCCGTTGTGGTAGATGTTGTTGCCGGCGATCAGGCCGCCGCCCTCCAGGCGCAGGAAGATGCCCGAGGCGCGGCAGCGGTGAATGTGGTTCCTGAGCATCACGATCTGGGCAGAGGGCAGAGGCGGCGGTGTCTGTCACCACGGTGGTCTCAGAATCCACGGGGGCAGTCCCACATGCCCTTTCATGGGGTCAGAAGCCAACACTTGCCCCATCCTTCTTTACGTGTTATCTGGGGTGGAAAAGCCACTGGGGCTCCAAACCAAGGACAATTAGAAATACAGATACGGGAAGCCTCCTTTAAACAGGGACTACAACCAGGCACCCAGCTTAGCACCTCTGCACCTGCAGCTTCCGCACCTATGGAGTCAACCCACTGGAGACGGAAGTATCTGGAACTCCCTGTGTCTGTGCTAGACATGGAGAGACTTATTTTCTCCTTGGCATTAGCGCCTCAGCATGGCAGTGTAGCAACTGTTTACATAGATTACACTGTATTAGGCATTACAAGTAACCTAGAGATGATTTAGATTACATGAGAGGGTGTGCACAGGTTATGTGCAAACACCACACCATTGTATATGCTAGGACAAATCCACAGATGTGTCCTGGGGGGATCCTACAGCCAATCCCCTGCCATGTGCTGGGGCGACTGCATACTCTGTATCTGGTAAGTACACCAAAAGCCCGGGGTTATGTTTGTGATGTTTTAAGCAATAGGATATTCACACACATACTACACTAGGATAAAGTGCATATTACTAATAAACAACACAGTGCATTAGGATAAAATTCCAGGAGGACAGAAGGAGAACAAAAGCACAATTTCAAGGAGGTCTCAGTCTCTGCTGAGGATGGAAAAAGCTGGAAAAACCCTGCTCCCACGCTTACAACAAGAAAAGCAGAAGTTACCATGCACAGCCACAGCCTTTCTGGAGCCCATCCAGAAGCTGGCCTGAAATCTGAGGAGAGACAGGCGCCCTCAGAGAGACCGAGGGAGTGGGAGCTGGCTCAACAGACGCAGGCAGCACACCCGCAGTGAGAAGAGGCCCACTAGCACCACTGATTGCTCACTGCAGGCCATCCATGGGGCGTGAGAGCACCTACCAGCTTCTCCAAGGACCTCAGCAGGTGCTCATGGAGAACGACTCTGGGCAGGCAAGGCCTCATAGTGCAGGCTTTGGGGAAAGTCTGGCAGTTCCTCCAGGAAAGGCAGTAGGACCCTGTGGGACTCTCCCCCCTAACCTGCCTGCAGACTAAGTGTAAGGCAGCTGCAGGAGGGCAGCAGACCCTGTGGCACCCAAAGACTGGACATACCTCAGGCTCACATTATCAGAGCTCGGGCGGAGGCAGGATTACTGACAAAGCCCCAGCCCCAAGACTCAGGAACACAGCACCTACCTTGACTAAGCCTGGAGCAAGACAACAGATACGCTGTCACCCAGGCTCACAAGTGCAGAGAAACAAGTCACAGGAGTCGGGGATAGAGGGGGCAAAGGCAGGGACAGAGACCTTCTTAGGAGCAGGTGAAAGGGCAGAGCAAAGGCCAAGAAACGCAGTGCAAGGCAATGGTAGCAGGACGTGGTGCCTGCAGGACTCTGAGGGCAATCACTATGATGTCACCATCCACACCAGCTCCACTCCCAACCACGCTGACCCCAAGGCCTGGCAAGGAGGAAGTGTGCCCATCTCCAGCTGTAAATGCTAATCACACCCCAGTCTCTATTGTCTTATACAAGGTGTCTGCCTCCCAACCAAAATCACAAGACACACAAAGAAGAGAAAACAGTGCTGTCACGGGTGCTGATACTTTTCTTCTAGGTGCTCCAGTAACCAGGCTTCACCTGGCTGGGGACGCCCTAGAAGGTGCAGACAGGTGCCCGGACCAAGACCCCGCTCATCAGCACTTCTACCTACAGCTCCCTCTTGTAATAAAGGCACATTGCAAATAACTGTTCCTGAGGCTTGGGACTCATGAGACACCATGGACATTTTTTTTTTTTTAAATCCAAAAAGTCTAACAGCAATTTTTCCACTAGGAGTTTCTGGCTGCATGACTCCTGTAGAAAGCCTCCTGTGGCGACTGTCTGAGAGGCCGCTACTCAAGCTGCCCACACACCGCTTCATCTGCTCCTCAGCGACACCACTGGCCACCCACGCAGTGACAGTCCCCGAGCTTGCAGGTCAGGGCACTTCCTTCCAAAGCCCCTGACCCAGGCAACAATGGTGGCTCTACCAGAGGTCCCAGGAGCTCCAAACTCAACGTGCCCAGAACTGAACACACTCTTTCTCTCCACACCCTCCCCTCTCCCGTTCTTGCCAATGCCTTGGCCACGCAGGCCAGAAATCGAAGCCTCCCCAGGCTGCCCTTACCCTCTTCTCTGTCTCTGGACCATGATCCCTGTGCCTCTAGCCTTGATCCCCTCCAACCCATCCCTGCAAAATGGGCAGAACGAGCATTCAAAAGGCCAGCACCTTGCTGTTGTGGATACACCGCACTGCATAAGTCAGGTTCCGGAAGACGTTGCCTTCCATCTTGGCTCGGCCGTAGGAGCAGACGAAGACGCCTCCCTTCCCGTCACGGAACAGGCACTTGCGGATGAGGCAGCCCTGCACGGAGCTGGCCAATGCCATGGCCTCCTTGTCCTTCTGCAGCTCCTGCTGCAGTGAGTTCAGCACCAGGCAGCTAGGCAGCTGGATGGATGCCCCTGGCAGTGGGGGGCCCAGAAAGGAGCCCCCCAGCACAGGGCGTGGGCCCTGTACCTGGTAGGACAGTCTGTATGTGAGCTGGTCCTCATCCTCATCCTCGCCGCTGGGACTCAGGCCTCCATCGCTGCTGTCTGGGGTCTGGGCCACCCTTTCCCCATCGCTGCCTCCCTCTGTCTCCTGGGAGCCAGCCTTGGAGGAGCTGGAGGCTGGGCTGGGAGGGCTCTGGCTGCCCTCAATGACAATGTCACAGGTCTTTGGGCTCCAAGCCTGGTCCCGGCTCTCTAGGTCCACGGACATTAGGAAGTCAGAGTCCTCTGTGGGCAGCAAACTGGGAGAGGACTTGATCAGTCCGAGGAGGTACTTGTAGGCCCAGTTCTTATCTGCAGAGGGGTGACCCTCCACGGTCACAGAGTTGTTTTCACTGCCCACGAATTCACAGTTTTCCAGGACACACAGGGGCACGTTGTGCAGGAAGACATGGGTGTTTTTGAAGATGCAAAACTTCACTTGGCAGGTACCTGGGCCATGTACCTGGATGTGCCCATTCTCAAAGTTGCAGTTGTCAAACTGGACATGACCTGATGTTGTCTGTGGGAAGAAAAGCGGAAAAAGGCTGTAAGAGGGATGAGCCTGGTGTTACTGGTCGGCCCTCCAGGTGCTTGTTAAGGAGGGTGGGGTATGGAAAGGCCATCCACTCTGCTGACCAGCCTTTGCCACCAGCACATGGGTGTGACTCGCCCCAGAAGGAAGCTGCTCTCTACATCAGAGGGGAGGAGGCTGGAGCTGGCCCCCTTCCATCCTTCTAATGACAAGGGAAGGGACAAGCATGGATGATGGCAGGAAAGCTCACACATTGCAGCATGACCTAAAAACCTCACTTCTGGGGTGAATTCTCCTGATACTCACGAATGCTTCGTGAGACTCCCTCCCTCCTTTCCTTTCCTGCTGGAAACGGGAAGGACACTGGGCAGTGGAGTTGGCCCTGTTAATACAGGAGAGGGTTTCTCTAGGGGAGGTCAGAAATGCTTGGGAGAGGGGCTGGTGCTGTGGTGTCACGGGTTAAGCCACTGCCTGTGATGCAGGCATACCGTATGGGCACCAGTGTGTGTCCCAGCTGCTCCACTTCTGATCCAGTTTTGGCTAATGTACTAACTTCGCTGGCAAAAGAGAGTGCAGGCCAGGAAGGGCTGAGCTGGGCAGTGGGGGAGGCCTGGCCACAGGTGCTGGGAACGAGTCCAGCTGTTTGGCAGCCATGGGGGCACAGCAAAAGGCAGCAGTTCCATCTCTTAAGGAGAGGGGCAAGGCGCTGCCATGGCTGGGAGGGAATGAACTCTGGTTCGGAGCACAGGCTCTGGAGGCTGACCACACGGACAGCTCCCAGCCCTGCCTCTTTCGAGCACGTTACCGTGTGTGAATGGCTTCACCTCTCAAGACCTTGTTTCCTTGTCTGAAGCATGGAGCTTACTGGTTAACAAAACCTGATGCCAAGGCACAAAGCTGGCACTCAAAAGAAGTTTGCTGCTATTGCCATGGTCAGGGACATACGAGCAGAGGGACCTCGGGAGGCTGGCGTGGGGAGTACTAATCCCCAGAGCAGAAGCCATCTGAGCCCCTCAGCTCTCTTGGCCCGATTGATGAGCAGCTTGGTGAGCTGCTTATGTTCCTGAAGAACTGTTTCTAGATTTCACACAAATTCCACCACATATATTTGAACCACAACACAAGGGAGCATCTCATTATCCCATTTAATAATCCAGACACTTCTATCCTTTGAGCCATCTTTTCTTTATTATTATTATTATTTATTATTTCTTTATTATTATTATTATTTATTATTTCTTTATTATTTCTTTTTCTTTATTATTTGAAAGGGAGAGTGAGACAGGGTGCTCCCCCACCCGCTGGTTCACTCCCTGAATGCCTGCAATAGTCCCTGGCCGGGGCTGAAGCTGGGAGGCAGGAACTCAGTCCAGGAACCCAGCTACTTGCATCACCACTGCTGCCTCCCAGGGTCTCCACTGGGAGGAAGACAGAGTCGGGGGCTGGAGCTGGGGTTTGAACGCAGGCGCTCTGTTGTGGGACGCGGTGTCTTAACCCCTAGGCTAAATGTCCACTCTGAGCCATCCTTATCCTTTAACTCTCTGGCAGGAGGCAGGCATGGGACAACGGCTGAACAGCATCTACCTGGCATACACTGTGTGCAGCACAAACGACTGGTGGTCTAACGACCATTACAAACACAAGAGAGAATTACATGGTTACTGGCCTGACAATGGCAATGTAATTCTTACTGGCATAATTATTGTGTATCTAATTTTCAGGTACGTAATCCCAGTAGGCAGTCGGTTTCCAGGCACTGTATAAGCTGCTGGGTTCTGCCAGGAACTGCAAACCCCTTGATTTGCGCTTTGCTCTTTTGCTCTGTGCTCATGGAAGGAAGTTGTTGGACTCATATTTCTGTACCCTCTCTGCAGTCACCATTGAGACGTGGCTCATCCTGGTGAAAGCCTGGCCTTCCCTGACCTTGCACAGGCCTCTCCCGCGGCTCCTTCTCCGGCCATGCTGCCACAAGCTGCGGACGCGTTCTCTACTTCCTGTCACCACACGCAGGCTCCCAGGCCCTGGCTTTGCCACCTAACTGTCCCACCTGTGGCTCCAGTCAGTCCAGCTGGGAAGGTAAGAGCTAGGAAGCAATTCTGGCCCTAAGCCCAAGCCTCATTTTTAAATGCAGGCGTGTAAGGAGAAAACAAGTATTTTGAACTATCTTGATCCCTGTGCCCATCAACTGCTCTAGACCTCAGAGGCATGTATGTAGAGGACAAGCAATAAACTCTCAGTCCCAACAATAAGGGGATTACAAACCCACAGAGAAGGGGCCCAGCCCCTGGGGTCAGGACTGGAAAGGCCACCCACCTTATACATGATGGGTGAGAACCAGGCCGGCATGAAGACCAGGTTGCACAGGCGTGTGGTCGAGCAGTGCTGATCAATGCTGGCCAGCAGGGCCACCTCGCCTAACTTCCCTCGGCCCACGATCTCCACGGGCACCTTCAGGATGATTTCACCTTGCTCTTCGTACACGCCTGGGAACAGCACGATTCGGTCATAGAGGCTGGCCATGGCCAAGGCACTGCCCAGGCTGTCAAACTCACGGCCTGGCCCGACGCTCAGCGTGCGCCGTTCCTTCCTCCGGCGGAAGAGAGAGAAGCAGACTGAGGACTCCAAGTCCAGGGCATTTTTGGTCCAGGTCTTGGAGGCGAGATAATGCTGCTTGAAGGCCTCTCTCCAAGACTCAGGCTCCACGTCCGGCTGGTTGGGCCAGTTGGGGTGGCGGCACTCGGTGCAGCCCAGGCACAGCTGCCGCCAGCGGGTACTGTCGAGACTGAGGATCAGCTCGTACCAGGCCCGGCACACCAGGCTGCAGCGGCCCAGGTCGGGAAGGTGCAGGTAGGCTAGGATCATGCGCCACAGCTCCAGGGGGAGGCCGCCAGCTTCCATGGTCACCTGTGAGATGGACACAAAACAAAAGAGCATTTTGTCCTGTTTACTATTGCCTTTCTCAAAATACCCCTTGCCACCTTCTGGTCTTAGGGGACTGAAGGACTCCGTCCCCTTCCTCAGAATACTGCCCTGGGATTTTCCTCTGGGAACCAGCAGGGCAGATGCTTTGTCATACACTGCAAGGACATGACCCCAGAGTGCAGGCAGCCAGGTTCCCCACCCTGCAGAGAGAACCTCGGGGTGTGAGAGCTAAGCAGAAATGAGTTCAGATGAAAGATGAACCAAGGCGGACGTGTGGGGCTGTGCCTGGAGGCTCGGACCCCAGATTCCTGAGGATGCCCTGCGGCATGCAGGTCCCCCTTCAGGGTGGGAGGTGCCCCAGTGGCCTTCCAGCAAATCTCCTTTTGCTTAAGATGGTGTCATTTGGGTTCCCATGACTCGTAACTGACCGTGTGTTCCTTTACGCAGAGGAAACCCACGCACCTCTGGCTGTTGCGGTCTCAAAGCTCTGGATCCCCCGCACTTCCAAGGAAGAGATTCCCGCTGGAGTTAACAGGAATGAGAACTGTGGCAGTGAGTGCCCATCTGTCTGTCTCCCCTCACTCCCAGAACAGGTATTACCACTGCTTCCCCATGGGGGCAGCCCCAGGAAAGACTGATGTCGGCTCTGATTCTGTGGGTTCTGGATCTGCACGGTTATCATTATTATCAAATATCCTTGAAAGGCAGAGTGAGCGAGAGCTAACAAGATATAGATAAGATCTTCCATCCACTGGTTCACTCCCCAAATAGCTACAACAGCCAGGGTTGGGCCAGGCCAAAGCCAGGAGCCTGGAACTTCAACCTGGTCTCCCACCGGTGGCAGGGACCCAAGTACTTGAGTCAGCATCCATCATCCATCATGTAGGATTAGCAGGAAGCTGAATCAGAAGCAAAAGAGCCAGGACTCAAACTGGCACTCTGATATGGGGATGCAGGCACCCCAGGCAGCGGAACCTGCTGCGCCACACACCTGCCTCTGTCCCAGGTTACCAACGGAACCCTAGTGTCTGATTTATACTGCAGAGATGTGTGGAGAACAGTGGTACCCTGGAGGCAGGCATTGTGAGATAAATCAATCAGAGACACAGAAATAAGCAGAGAAAATGGTAGAAGCAAAGGGCTCCCAGTTTCTCTCCAACACTGCAGGTCATGGCTCCAGTTTGTTCTCAAAGCTCAGTGTCATCCTTGCCATTTGAAGGCCATCAGGTATCTGTACTTTGAAACAAATTATCTTCTTGGCATAATCTGGCTTCACTGAACTCCAGTTTTTTATACCTCATTATGAGTGTCAATTTCTTCAAGTGAAAAACAAGGGGGCTGGGACCAGTGCTGTAGCGTAGCAAGTAAAGCCACCGCCCGCAGCGCCAGCATCCCATGTGGGTACCGGTTCAAGACCTGGCTTCTCCACTTCTAATCTAGCTCCCTGTTAACGTGCCTGGGAAGGCAGCAGAAAGTGACCCAAGTACTTGGGCCCCTGCACCCACATAGGTGACCCAGAAGAAGCTCCTTGCTGCTGGCTTCAGATTGGTCCAGCTCTGGCCATTGTGGCCATTTGGGGAGTGCACCAGCAGATGGAATATTCTCTCTGTTTTTGCCTAACTCTTCTTTTGAAATAAAATAAATAAATCTTTACACAAACAAACAAACAAAAAAGAGGGCGGAGTGAGATGTTCCAGTAGGGGTAAGGAACCTTTTTCTGCCAAGGGCCATCTGGATATTTATAACATTATTCTTGGACCATACAACATTATCAACTTAAAAATTCGCCTGCTATACTTACTGAATTTTGAGCCCTGCCTGTGGGTGCCTTGGCAGGCTGGATGTGCCCCACCCCTGATCTAGAGCAAAATCCAGCCTAAAATCCTACAGTCTGTCAACAGCTAGAAATGAAGACTAGGAACAGGGCAGACTCTGCAACTGACCTTAACTTGCTAAGCTCTCCACAGTCTTGATTTTTCTCTCAATTTATGATCACATGTGTCAGTTACCTAAACCCCAAGAAGGCTAGGAACACAAACACCTGATTATACCTGTGAGCAGTGCTGGGCCTCCTCCACACTGCAGTGCCTTTAACTCTACAGAGTGACACCAGGGTGGGCCTAGGCAGGCAGGTTCTTCCGTAACGATCACCCAGGGACACCGAAGTCCTCGGCTGCACCGCAGAAGTTGCAGGGAAAAGGCTGGGCTCCCCGACATCCACCACTGCCCCAGGGGAACACGGCTGGGTCACGGCGCTTTCTGTCACACGATGCCTCCTGGTGCTGACGTCTCTAGCTCCACTTTCTCAGACCTCCGCCCATTCTCTTTCCCTTCTGAAGCTGACTGACCTCATCAATGTCCTGTCTTCAACCACAAAATCTGATTCCTTGTCCCAGTGACCTCTCTGGAGCTCCACAGAGAATACTCAATGACCTGTTATATGTCTCTACTTGCATATTCCACAGACAATAAGAACTTAACATCATGTCCAATGCTGAAGCCCGACTTCTGCTTCAGGCCAAGATGAACAGCTGGACCTGATGCTCTCTCCTGTCATAGCAACCATACAGCCGGACAAGACATGAAGCCACCTCTCGATGCTTTCAGGCTTCACACAGCCAGCGGTTCAGGGCTATGATTTTGGGGAGCCAGGAGACACAGGCAGCGAGTACCAGGAACGTCCCCAACTGTCACTCTGGGGACCTTTCTCACTGAGCAGATTCTGAGTTCTCAGATGTTGACGAGGTTGGCATCTGTGAGGCAAGAAGCCAGAGAGCAGCCCAGAGCGGGCAGGGGGTGGACCATCTCCTGGCTGACGGTGGGGCTGCCCAATGGCAGGGCAGGACCTCCACTGGTCCCAGCAGAGATCACGTGCTCTGAGACTGAGGGCTCAAGGGTAACACCAGCCAGCGCGGAGCTGGGAAACAATGGAATCCCAGCCCAGGCAACATGGAGGTTTCTCATGGAGTCTCAGACAGGTCTGCCATATTCCAGTTGACAGGGAGAATAAAGCCAGCCCAACAGGATCAGAAAACTCTGCCAATGAGTTAACTGCCAACCAAAGTAAATCTCATGCTCTAAAAACAAACAACAGGGGCTGGCATAAGGCTAGCTGGTTAAGATGCTTGCATCCCACACTGGAGCTTCCTGCTAATGTGTACCCTGGAAGGTAGCAGGTGATGATGGTTCAAGTGGTTGGGTCTCTGCTTCCCATATGGGAGGCCTGGACTGAATTCTCAGCTTTAGCTCAACTAGGGGACACTGTGGGCATTTGGGAAATGAACCCATATATGGCAGCTCTTTCTTTCTCTCTGCATCTAAAAAAAAAAGGAGAGGGGTACTGTGACATAGTGGGTAAAGCTGCCGCCTGCAGTGTGGGCATCCTGTATGGGCATTGGTTCAAGTCCCGGCTGATCCACTGCTGAAACATCTCTCTACTATGGCCTGGGAAAGCAGCAGAAAATGGCCCAAGTCCTTGGGCCCCTGCACCCATGTGGGAGACCAGGAAGAAGCTCCTGGCTCCTGGCTTCGGATTGGCCCAGCTCTGGCCATTACAGCCATTTAGGGAGTGAACCAGCAGATGGAAGACCTCCCTCTCTCTCTGTGCCTCTGCCTCTCTGTAACTCTGACTTTCAAGTAAAATAAATAAATCTTAAAAAAAAAAAAAGGGCAATCTAGACATCCTCAATGTATCAGCCATAAGACAGTCTAATAATGGTATAAGGAAAACAGAATCCTTAAACAGAACCATACATCCATCAGTCAACTGACTTTTGACAAAGGATCAATATAGTCCAGTAAGCAAAGAAAAGCCTTCCAACAAAAACTTTGCTAGGCACATGGTACAGCTTGATAGCATCTGGGAAAAAATGAATCTTGACTCGCATCTTACACAATACACCAAAACTAGCTCAAGTTTGGTTGTAGACCTAAACATAAAAATTAAACCTATTAAGCTTCTAGAAAAAAATGCAGAAAAATTTATTTGTAACCTCAGGATGGGCAGATTTCTTAGGAGACATTTTCAAGCACTAACTATGAAATAACTGACAAAACAAATTGGTCTATCAAAATTAAAATTTCTCATCCAAAGATCCCACTAAGAGGTAGGTGTTTGGTCATTGGTGAGGCGCTGTTTCTGGCCTTACTTTATGGTCTCTCTATAGTTTGGATCACAGCAACAGACTCTTCACTGGTCTCCCTGGAGCCAGTCCTGCCCACATCCAGTCCATTTGACAGCTGCCACAGGGATCTTCCTAAAATACAAATCTAATCCTGTCACCTGTCAGCGGCTCCCCCAGGGCTTCCGGGATCAAGCCCCGAGCAGAGTCATGAGCTTGTCCCCCTTTCTCTTCAGCCTCGTGTCACTCACCCTCCCCCTGCCCTCGCCTTCCTTATCCTCTCCTCCGAACCCGGTGCCTTCTCTGGAATAGCTCCATCACGCATTTTTAAAACATAAAATACAACAGAGTACACAAAGCAAAAGGACAGTTTACGGAATCATTTATAAGGCAAACATCCTGCTAACACTCAGCTTAGATAAAAAACAAACAGGATCTTGCCCGTCGCTGAAAGCTTCTCCATCTGCCCCATCACATCCCGCTCAGTAGTTCTGATTTCCGTGATCAGGAAGTGATCACTTCTCACCTCCTGCATTTCTCTGAGGTTTTATCACCCACTCTTACATACTGTAGGCTTTGTTTTGTCCTCAGGTTTTTAGCTTGACAGGCCTTTTGAGTCTCATTTCATCTGTACGTCCCCCTTCTCTTTCTTCACAATCTGTTGAAGAACCTGCCCCGTTTGGCCAGTTTCTCACAGTCCGAATTTTGCTGATCACACACGCACTCACAGGAGTGTTCAATCTGCTCCCCAATCAACAGTGTTCCTTGCAAATTGGCAGGTGGACTCGGAGGCATGACCAGACTCCGACTGGACCCAATAGCAGCGTACCTTTGTATCAGGAAGAGTACTTCTGGCTGCCTTTTTGCTGTGAGTGCTCAGTGGTGCTCACTGCCTAGATGCACACACAGATTCTTCAGAGGAAACAACATGTGCTGTTCTAACCGCATCATTCGCTTTGATTTATCAGCTGAAATAACTTTACAAGGAGCTGCTTCCCTTCATCTACTGTTGGTTACCCAGTGGTTTAGCACATACAGGAAACACCAGACTGACTTTCATTTCTGCCTTTAAGGTAATGAATTAGTTCTCTGCTATTTTTGGGAAGTAATATTGTGTGTGTGTGTGCGTGTGCTTTTAAAACCATTATTATGAATTCATGGATTTAGGCATATTTTACGGGTTTCAGTTCTTTGAAATTACTCTTCTTACTCAAGTTCAACTGAGCCATCTTTGGCCTCAAGTTGATTCCTTAGCCCTTGTGAAACAACCCCAGTAATTGTCAATACCTTTCTTACTATCTGGTATGCCCAGATGTTCCTGCCCAGACATGGTATCAGACATTTCTTTAAGAAGCTATTTTAAAAATAACGTTATAGAGGTAATTATAGATCCACACACAGCCTCTAAGAGAGAACATGGGGGATTTCCCACAAATGCTTTGCTCAGTTTCCCTGGGGGGCAACATTTTAAAAAGCTGCAGAACACAACCAGCACAGTGACCCTGCGACCATCTGCCATCTCAGACTGCCCCCGCTTGTGCTCATGTGTCTATGACATTCTCTGCAGTTTCATTAGCCACGTAGGTTTGTGTCATCAGCACTACCAGAGTCTTTGCAGAGTCCTAACACGAGGACCCCTCGTGCTGCCCTTTCATAACCACACCCACCTCCTTTCTGCCTCCCAACCCTCACCTAACCGTTAATATGCTCTACATTTCTAAAACTGCCCTTTCACAGACCTTATGTAAACTGTACTTTGTGATTTTTTTTCATGCCTGGAGATTCATTCAATTTGTTGTGTGTCTGAAGAGCTGATTCCTTTATAATGCTGAGTAGCAGTCCTCGGTATGGACATAGCATAGTGTGCAAACTCAGAACTCTGACAAACGTGGTCACCTCTGTAATCCAGCCCTCATCAAGAAACAGAATATGCCAGAACATTCTCTCCTAATTTTTCCTAATTCCAATCCAACCACAAGAGGCAACCACTGCTCTCACTTCCCACCACAGACTAGTTTCATCCTAGAATTTCATATAAATGGAGTCATACAGTGTGTTGAATTTGGTGTAAGGCTTTTCTCACTGAGCCTAACAGTTTTGAGATCCATCTGTTTTGTTTCCTATATCTATAGTTAATGTCTTTTTATCGCTGAGTAGTAGTACATAGTATATTAATATACCACAGTTCTTTTAAAAAGTCAGTTTTCCTATGGTGGGAAGCTGAACTGCTTCAGTTTGGGCTATGATGAATACGCTGCTGTAAATATACTTTTAAAAGTACTTTTGTAGCTGTAAGTTTTAATGTCTCTTCAGCAAATACCTAGGAGTGAAATAGGTCCTTTCCCAAAAAGTTGGACCACTTTACACTTCCAGAAAGAATTTGTAAGAATGCAGCTGCTCCACAACTTCACCATTTGTTGCTGTCCATCTTTCTTATGTTACCATTCTGGTGAGGGTACAGTGATGTATCATTTTGGTTTTAATATGCATTTCCCTCATGACTAGTGATATTCAGTACTTTTTTCACACACGTATAGCCACTCCTATATCTTCCTGAAATACCTATTCAAATCTTTCACCTATTTTTAATTGGGTTGTCTTTTTAATTACTGACTCCTGGGCCTTCTTTCTTTTCTGTTGAAAAGTCTCTTTTCTCTATTGGGTTGCATTGGTGTTTTTGTCAAAAATCAAATGATGGGAGCGTGGGGTCTACTTCTGGACAATTTATTGTTTCACTGATCAACTGGTCAGTGCTTATGCCAGTCACCCTGTTTTTTTACATTTTTTTTTCCTACTAGGAATTGCCTTTTTGCTGTCAAGTTTAAAAATTCTTTACCTAGCTCTAGATCCTGAAGATTTTCTACCATGGTTTTTTCTAAATGTTTCATAGTTTTACACTGTATATTTAAGCCAATGGTCCTAAGCCGATGGTCCTTGGTGGGTGATTTTTGATTAGGTTTTGCTTTAGATGCTGGGTTTTTGTTGTCTGTGGCTGTTTACTCATTCCAGCGCCATATGTTAAAAAAAGGCCATCCTTTACCCCTTGAACTACTTTTGAGATTTTGTCAAAAATCAAATGAGCATATTTTTGGCCCAATTTCTTTCTTTCTTTCTTTTTTTTTTTTTTGACAGGCAGAGTGGACAGTGAGAGAGAGAGAGACAGAGAGAAAGGTCTTCCTTTTGCTGTTGGTTCACCCTCTAATGGCTGCCGTGGCTGGCGCTCTGCGGCCGGCGCATCGCGCTGATACGATGTCAGGAGCCAGGTGCTTCTCCTGGTCTCCCATGTGGGTGCAGGGCCCAAGCACTTGGGCCATCCTCCACTGCACTCCCGGGCCACAGCAGAGAGCTGGCCTGGAAAAGGGGCAACCGGGACAGAATCCGGCGCCCCGACTGGGACTAGAACCCAGTGTGCCAGCGCCGCAAGGCGGAGGATTAGCCTATTGAGCCACGGTGCCGGCCGAAAGGTCTTCCTTTTGCCGTTGGTTCACCCTCCAACGGCCGCCACGGCTGGCGTGCTGTGGCTGGCGCACCGCGCTGATCTGAAGGCAGGAGCCAGGTGCTTCTCCTGGTCTCCCATGGGGTGCAGGGCCCAAGCACTTGGGCCATCCTCCACTGCACTCCTGGGCCACAGCAGAGAGCTGGCCTGGAAAGGAGCAACCAGGACAGAATCCGGCGCCCCGACTGGGACTAGAACCTGGTGTGCCGGTGCCGCTAGGTGGAGGATTAGCCTAGTGAGCCGCGGTGCCGGCCCCAATTTCTTTTAATGGACGTAATATTTCAAGACCACAATCTGGGTTCAGAGACACTTATTTCTGCTGCTTCTGTCGATCTCAGCCTATACAGGGGACTCTATCTCCACTAGACTATGGGTTTCCATTCAGGTGCTTTTACCTATGAAGATGCAAGGCCAGGTGCTGACTCCCTCCTCTTCTCCACCATTCAGGGTGACAGGACAGGCAGGGAAAGCATTCTCAGCGACAGGGCATCTACGCTGCACCAGCACCAGGTCCACTTGTCCCAGGCACTCTGAGAGCAGGATTCTCAGTCTTCTCAGGCCAGAGTAAGTGATGTCTTAATGTCATCGATGGTCTTGACCACAATTCCTGGAGAAGAAACAGGTCAGCAATACCTCTGGCTTTTATATTTAACTCCCACATAACTCACGCTCTCCTTTCAACTTTACATATTGTGCTAGACATCCCTACCAAACATTCCCCTACACCTTTCCCAAGAATTAGGGTAGCTCTACTTCTAATTACTCTACCTAATATGAATGCTGCATATGTCATTGCATAAAGAAGGAGTTCTGACATCAGTCAGGCCTTCTCTAGCTATAGCCAGACCTCTGTACCCATAGGATCCACACTAATGGATTCAACCAATTGCAGATAAAAAGTATTAAGAACAAACCTGGCTGGTGCCGTGGCTCACTAGGCTAATCCTCCGCCTTGTGGCACCGGCACACCGGGTTCTAGTCCCAGTCGGGGCGCCGGATTCTGTCCCGGTTGCCCCTCTTCCAGGCCAGCTCTCTGCTGTGGCCTGGGAGTGCAGTGGAGGATGGCCCAAGTGCTTGGGCTCTGCACCCCATTGGGAGACCAGGAGAAGCACCTGGCTCCTGCCATCGGATCAGCGCGGTGCGCTGGGCACAGCGCGCTGGCCGTGGCGGCCATTGGAGGGTGAACCAACGGCAAAGGAAGACCTTTCTCTCTGTCTCTCTCTCTCACTGTCCACTCTGCCTGTATTAAACCTAGTCATGCCTTCACTCACTTTTAGAATAAACTAAAGAACAAACTCTGGATCTGTGCTGAATAGAGATTTTTATCATTTACACCATATTAGGTATTATAAGTAATTTAGAGATAGTTTAAATTATATGAGACAAATTATGTAGATTGCATGCACATATACCATTATTTTTAAATTAAAAAATATTCTAATTCATTTTAAAGGCAGAGAGAGAGACAGGAAAAGGGGGAAGGTGGGGATAGGAGAAGGGATCATCCATCTGCTGGTTCACTTCCCAAATGCCTGCAACAGCTGGGGCTGCGCCAGGCCAAAGTCAGGAGACCAGAACTCAATCTAGGTCTCCATGTAAGTGGCAGGCACTCAAGTACTTGAGCTGTCACCTGCTGCCTCCCAGGTATGCATCAGCAGGAAGCTGGAGAATGAAGTGGAGCCAGGACTTGAACCCAGGTACTGTCGTATGGGATTTGGGCACTCCAAGTGGTATCTAAACCACTGTGCCTAATGCCCACTGCCATATGCCATTTTATGTAGTGACCTGGGCATAGCAGGTTTTGGTATCCATGGGGGATCCTAGAACCAGCCCACACAAGGGATGACTGTATGTTCTTGGCTTGCCTCACTTAAGAAGTAATTTTTAAAATGTTTTGCTGCCACTGCCCAAGGTCTGAGGACCAGTATATGGTTCTCTGAATTCACAGACATAGGCTGTGAGAGGGGCCCAGGGGTGACCGCACCATTGCAGCCCTCCCCACCTAGCCTCGTAGCCCAGTCCCAAGATGGCAGCCACCATGAAGAAGGCGGCTGCAGAAGATGTCAATGTTACTTCTGAAGATCAACAAAAGGTAAACAATTTTTCAAGGAATACAAGTAGAATCAGAGCTAAAGGAAGAAGTACAAGTAAAAAAGAAACAACTCCAGAATGTAGAAGATGCTTGTGATGACATCAGGCTTGAGGTGACGACTGCTTAATGATTCCTTATCAAATGGGTGATGCTTTCATCAGCCACTCGCAAGAAGAAACACAGGAAATGTTAGAAGAGGCAAAGAAAAATTTGCAAGAAGAAATTGGCACCTTAGAATCCAGAGTGGAATCAATTCAACAGGTGTCAGCAGATTTGAAAGTTCAGTTATATGCAAAATTTGGGAGAAACATAAACCTTGAAGCTGATGAAAGTTAAACATTTCATACAACTTTTAAAAATTTGTTTAATAAACTTGAATATTGTTTAAAAAATTCCTAAATGACATTTCTTCTAATTAGCCTTGATCCTTCACATCATCCATTTCTGCTAACCAGCAGCCCCACCACACTCTTCTCCAGTTTACAGTCATCTTTCTACATTTCTAAATCTCCCTATAAAATGCAGCACATGCACAATCCTTCTGTCGTCCTTTTTATTCCTTATTACTTTGCTTCTTCAATTCAAAGCCACCGGAAGAACACCGTTATTGCCACATTAATAACTCCTATAAGAGAGTATAAAACCTACCAACTGCCCAAACACTCCCGCAGAGGGTGAGCTCATCTTAGGCAGGACAGCGCTACATCTGGAGGGCTATCTTTTGATCATTACAAACAGCTCTGACCCACTTTTACAGTCCTGTTCTTCCCGTCCCCACATCTCGCTTTCTGATCTACAAGCTCCCCTGAGTACGACAGCACAGTTCCTTCCAGGACAGCGTACACCACGTACTTCCATTTACTTCCTGATGTTCCATGATGTTCTTTTCTTTTACAAGGACAAAGCTTGACAGGTGTTCAAGAGTCTCTACATGGCCTTCCAGGTCAGTGTCTTCCACGTGGCCCTCTGCCGGTCTGTCCATGAGGGTCCTCCCTGGGACGTGTTGCGAGTGGGGATGTACGAGAGACCCAATTATAACCACCAACACTGATAATGACTTTGCCTCACTGCTAACTTAAGCACAGCTTACTAAACAAAGGTGTTTGACCCAGCCAACCTGTAGTGTGCGCCATGAGACATCCCATAGCAACTCATACTGCCAAATTCTGCCCCAAATGGGTTTCCCAAGGTTACCAGAGCAGCTCATCAATAAGGAGTACCTAGGCCATCCCAATTCAGTTATAGAGAGATTACAGCAAGAACCCAACACACCATCCAATGTCTAGCATGAAGTACTAGATATTGTGCTTTCAAATTAATCCTCGTCATGCCTTCACTCAACTTTTAGAATAACTAATGTTTTTTCAATGTTATGTAAGTTTACTACATGCATACAGCTTCGACAATCTCCCAATACACACACGAGGTTGCTTCATCAACACAGAAATTCCTAGAGTTTTTAAAACTTTATTTACATTTTTATTTATTTGAAAGGAAGCCAGACAATGAGAGAGAGGAGAGAGGAGAGAGAGAGAGAATCTTCCATTTCTTGGTTCACTCCTCAAATGTCCAGGGCAGTTGGAGCTGGGCCAAGAAGCAGCCAGAAGCCAAGAACTCAAAGTGGCTTCCCCCATGAATGACAGAGACCCAAGTACTTGGGCCATCCCCTGCTGCCTCCCAGGGTGCACAATGGCAGAAAGCCGGAATCAGAAGCAGAGCCAGGACTCAGGCTCAGGTGCTGTTATGGAGTGTGCCTTCATCACTGCACCAAACACCTGCCTCAACAGAACTTCTTAAAGTTCCACTGCGAATAAGAAGTAAAAGAATAAAAACCTCTTTTATTCCTCAGTTCATCTGTTTTGCAAGCACAGCCTTTACGGAGCTGGGAAATACTGAGATGAGAAAAAAGGGATGCCTGCCCTCTGCATGAGAGGACATGGACACAGCTAACAACCCCAGTGAACAGAGGACTGAACACTACTGCAGCTTAGAGAGTTCAGGAGGAAAGGAAATCTTGAGTCTGAACTTGGAAGCACTTCCCATAGCTCTGGTTCTTCCAACATGGCTCCTGGCCCTCAACCTGAGACGGTCAACCACCCTCTGGGGCCTGGCCCCGGCTCCACTGCAGACCTCCAGGTTCAGAATCCCCAGAGTAGCGCCAATGATGTGCGTTTTTAACAAGCTCCCTGGTGACTGCGCTAGAAAGGGCTCTCAGCTCCTGGGCTGCAGCATCCTCAACAAATGGCTCTGCTCCTCAGCTGCAACCCTTTCAGCAACACGACTCTCCCTGTACCAGGCAAAGACCCGACAATCTCAAAGTCAGAAGACCTGGAATCAGTGTAGACAGCCTTGAGCACATCACAGAGCTTCCCAGGGCATCAGCTGCTTCATGCATGGACGGGGATCTTGCTGACACCCCAGAGGCTTGTTGTGATGACAGAGATCTAGGGCACACTGTGCTGGTAACCAGCTTCCCCCGCTTCCCGGCACAAGGAGAGCACTCTGGACCCCCAGCAGCTGCTGGGGCCACAGGACTGTCACTGGCCAGTGCACTCTGAGTAGAAGAGATGTATTACTCCTCATGAGAGCACTTCACGGCCTGTGCAGGATCCTACTGGGTACTGTTCTCTCTGGCACAGCAACTGGCAACATTTGAGATGATGGCTACTCACGGGGTCTGCACCCTTCAGTGATTAGGGTGGCCCCAAATGGACATACACATGCAGGAAAAATAAGCCTTTGTTTTGCATTAAGGTAGGAAGAACTTGGGGATTATTCTTCCCTCGGGGCCAGTGATGTGAGCTGGCTGCCTGGTTGATACGGCATGAGAAACTCCACAAGGCACCATTGCAAGGTCCTCGGACACCTTGAGATTGCCTAGCTCCTGGCTGTTGTGAAGTGACTCAGTATTCTCCCCCAAACCGAGGGGGCGTCCAGCTCTTACTGTCCCAACTGACCCAGTTCTGTCCCCTCTTAGACACATTGCATGTTGGCAAAGGCCTGGGATGCCAGACTCAGAAGCTTGTGCTGTTAGTGACAGGACAATCAGGAGGGGAGTGGCTTGACCTGACCTACTGTATTTTAAGGATATTAATCCAGAAAAAGTCTGTTAGGTAGAACAGTGAAGGCAGACGCTCACCATTTTGCAAATATTAAACAACAGTTCCTTTCCCTCAGGACGCTATGGGACTATCTCGGTCTCTGGGGCAAAGGCTGAGGGTATGGTCCGGGTGGTAGGAATCCACACCCTGGGAACTGAATCCCCATCTCTAGGTGGGGCCTTTGGGAGGTGATTAGGATTAGGTCAGGCTCTGAGGGTAGGGGCTCCAGGATAGCATAAGTGACTTTATAAGGAGAGGAAGAGAGACCTGAGCTAGTAGCTTGCTGTGTTTCACATGTGACATCCTCCGCCATGTCATGACCTGCAGGAGGGGGCAACTGGTCCTCAGCCGGCCTCGCGGGGCAAGGGGGGATGCCAGCAGAGCTTCCAGCCTTCAGCACCGCCTTCCTCCCAACTCCAGGGCTCTGAATCCAGAGTGAGACAGCAATTCTCCCCCAGGCCCCGCCCTCTGAGCTCAGATGAGGATTCCCTTTCATTCAAATGCCATACTCCCCATGTTCCACTAGCTTTATTTACTGTATCTTTACACGAACCCACTGGGGTTCTATAACTAGGTAACACCTTTAAAGAAAGTACTCAAGCTCTGCCCTTCCTTTGTGCCACTGGGGCCTCTGAGGGTGTAACAGACGTCCCCCAGCAGCTGTGCACCTGTGAAGACATGGAAAAAATACATGGGAAAACAATGGCGATGGTGGAGGGGCAGACCACAACCTAGTCTACTTTTTATGTCTTCCTAAGAGTGTGAGAACTGGAGGTCTATGTGGCACCCTCTTCCCTCTCCCTCCAGAGGTGTTCCTGTGCCTCCAGGCCCCCTGGTGTCCCCAGCCTCTGTGGGAGAAGCAGAGGCCCCCTCCTGGGGGCGAACCTCAAGAGACGTGGCTCTCAACAAGCAGGCTCTGCGCTTCCCAGCCCTGTGCCTTGAGCTATTTCCCATCTCTCAGCTGACGTGATGGCTGCTCTGCATACTCATGAAGATCCTGAGAATCTTCAAAGAAAAAAACCCCTATCCAACAAGTACCTGCTGACGGCCTACCGCATGCCAGGCAGTAAACAAGTCCCCCCCTTCAGAGACAATCAGTCGAACCCAGGTTAATGTTAAGGCAGGCGAGCTGTGTGCGCATGCGCTATTTCAGATGTCAGGGAAGGCCTCTGAGAGAGGGACACTTAAACAGAGACCTGAACGGTTTCCAAGCACGGCAAGGGATGAAATCCCTGTGACACAGTGGAGAGAGGAGGTGTGATGGCCAAGAGCTCGACCAGTCTCACCTCCCAGGGCATGCAGTGGAAAAGGACTCAGAAGGGAGACGTGGGAAGGGATCCCTGAGAACGCTGTGCAGGACTCAGATGGGAGGCACTAGAATGAACGCTTTTGCTTTGTTTTGCTGTCTACACTCCGCCTACTTCTGAGCAGGGCGGGCTCTGTGGGCTGCTCAGTTTGCCAGGCACCATGGTCAGAGACCACAGTAAGGCCAAGCATCTGCAGTGGGAGTCGCCAGCAGGGCACCCCTGCAGTTAACACTCTCAGAAAGGGACTCTGGAGATGTCTCATACAGATGTCTGCGCGGTCTGCTGTGGGCCTCACGGTGAAGCCCTTTCTCTGGTCCCTGGTAACCTCTTAGCTCACTGATGTTTGAGTGTGAGTAGATCTGTGGGCTGGAGCAGGGGACCTGAGGAAGGACTGCGCCACACCTACGGGCAAGCCGTGTGAAAAGTGACATGGCGCCTACAGACCAGGGTGGCCAGCCGACCCAGTGCCTGAAGAGGAAATTCACCGAGATGGATCAAACACACTGTCCGACCTCTAGCAGCCTACAGCTCTATGAATAATACACTTTACTGTCTGCCTCCCGTGAGTGAACTGTCAGTTCCCAAAGGGCAGAAGCTTTGTGTCATTGTTCCACCTTAAGCCTAGAACCCAGGATGGGCGCTCAACAAACACTTAGGAATGAGCGAACAATCACCCTTGTCGTTAGCTGGTGCTGAGACTACTCAGGCCAGTACCTACAGATGCCTACTGCCACACAGGTCCCTGTGAGTAAAAAACACACAAAAGGAGTAAAACTCCAGAATGAATGAATTGAACTTTTGCTGTGTACAAGACCATGTGGGAGGCACCATGAGGATGTCAATGGAAAATCAAGCAGACTCTGCTCTCAAGTCTGGTAAAAGACAAAGATACATCTACCCTAAAGCAAAACCCACACAATGAAACAGAAAAAGCCCTTCAGGCTTCAGGCTATCCAAGGAGGGGAAGCCTGTGTTAAAGCAGGGGTGGGGAATGTGCAGCCCGCTGGCTGTGTAAGGCCCATGAGATCACCTGCTCTGGTTCCACCAAAGCAACTGCGGGTGGGATGCACAATTCAATAAATCTGCAGCAGGCTCATTTTTAAGTTGGCCATTTGTATGTATGGATTGCACATGTTATAAATACCCGACTGGCCCTTGGCAGAGAAAAGCCTCTGCACCCCTGGTTTAAAGAATAAACAGATGACTCCAGCTAAGGAAATCAGAAAAGAAGTGGAAACAACGGCAGCACTGGAACACCTTCAACACGCGTCACTTCACCTCCTCAAAGCCTCCGGCTCACAATGCGCCCCGCACCTCGGACTCGCAACTTGTTAAGAAAGGCCAGAGTGTGGGCACCACCCTACTTACTAAGTCAGAATTGGTATTTTCACAAGATCAGGAAACCTGTGTCTCCTCAGACCGTGAGTCTGAGAAGCGCTGGCTGAAAGTAATATTGTCTTCATTACACAGATGAAGAAACAGAGCCCGAGAGAGTTTCCGGGACAAATGACTCGCCCTGGATGAGTGCTAGAGAGGGGTGCAGGCCGACCCCAGAGGCCAAGCCTCACGGAAGAGCTGGCGGCTAGGCCGGCTGTGGGGAGGCGACAAGGGCATGTGGGCAGAGGAGACAGTGTCAGCCAAACCCTGCATGAGGGAACCTCCAGCCGGGCTCAGGGCTCCTTAGGGGCAGCCCGAGGGGTCAGTGAGAAAGGTCAGCTAGGTTAGCTCCCATGGGACATCCTCAGCCAAGGGTGAGGAGTTTCTAGGTGACCCGGGGGCAACGAGGAGCTGGCTGGGTCCCAGCTGAATGACTCAGACAAAAGGGACCCAGGGGCTTCCTGTTCTAGTCTGGGCTCTGCCTCTCCCTCCCCCGCCAGTCTTGAGG